TTCCAAATCCATCAGCAGCAGGTACATGTAAACCCGGGTCTGCACTCAGCTCTCAACAACACAAGTTCTAACATGATGGGTTTTTTTCTAAAAACAATTTTATTCCCACATCAACAGGATTTTATATTTAAAAAAATCTCATGTTTGAGGATATTTGTAAATGTTATGTATTTATTTCCCCATTGCTATGAAAACTATCTTCAATCCTACCTACTCTACTATCGACATATTCAAGGGCATGAAGAGTCAGGCTTACATTTAATTTAAATATTACACTTATTTGTTACAAAATCTGATACTTGCAGCAGTGTGAGGAAACATACCCAAAATGATCTGACTTGTTTTCTAGAATTACTTTATGGCTTTGAGGGCTTCACCTTTGTTGATCTTTACTGGTAGTCAGTCATGCATGTGTGTGTTTGTTTCCATGTGTCAGTTCTGAGTTACAGCTGAGTGTTCAGGCCCTCCCTGTTTGGACGAGGTGCAGCACAGGTTAAAAAACAAAAAAGTTATCAGTCAGAGAGTCCATGCTTAACACAACTATTTATTCCCTGAGGCAAATGTCAGCACACCACAAATACTGTGCACTGTAGGAAAGTCATGGAACATCAATACCAAGTTTTCCTGTCTGCGTTTCAGTGCTGCTCTCTTGTTTGGGTTGAATTTAGATTTTTTAAGTGTAGGTGACCCTAGAAAAGATCAAAATGAAAATAACTAACTTAACCATTGGGATAAACCTTTTTGTTAAAACATGAAAGCTCTATGTTATATTACAATAACACCAACATGTGTACATCTCAGAAGTAGTATATTTATAGGACTCTTTCCTGCCAGTACAATTTTTGTGTTGCTTCATTCACAGCCCTTATGAAGCTTTCCTCAGGTATATGTTTACGTATTGTTTTGCACTGGTGTGTTTTGCATTTTTCTGCTATTAATGATTAATAGTACTGCAGCCTTCCTGCGTAATACACTTGATTCCTCTGAAAAGGAAGGCAGTGAAACAGAGGAGGTTAGCCCCATGGTACAGCTCGCAGCTCCGCTCCCTAAAGCAGGCATCACGAAAAATCGAAAGGAGGTGGCGCTCCACTAAGTCAGAAGAGTTTTTCATAGCCTGGAAAGATAGTTTAATAACATATGAGAAAGCCCTTCGTAGTGCCAGAACCGCATTTTATTCATCACTGATTGAGGAAAATAAGAACCCCAGGTTTCTTTTCAGCACTGTAGCCAGGCTGACAAAGAGCCACAGTGCTGTTGAGCTTAACATTCCCTTACATCTCAGCAGCAATGACTTCATGAGCTTTTTTACAAATAAAATCACAACTATTAGAAAAAAAATTGGTCGGACCACTCCCACAGCTCTCGCAGATGTGCCATCTACTACAATGGCTTTAGAAACATCTGTAAGACCTCATTTATACTTGGACTACTTCTCTCCTATAGATCTCTCTGAGTTGACCTCAACAATTGCTTCATCTAAATCATCAACATGTGTCCTGGACCCCATCCCGACCAGGCTGCTGAAAGACGTCTTTCCCCTAATCAACACATCCATACTAGATCTGATTAACCTCTCTCTATTAACAGGTTATGTTCCACAGGCTTTTAAACTTGCAGTAATTAAACCGCTACTCAAAAAGCCTACCTTTGACCCAGGTGTCCTAGCTAATTATAGACCAATATCCAATCTCCCATTTATTTCCAAAACGCCTGAAAAAGCTGTTGCAAAGCAGTTATTTGACCATTTGCACAAGGATGATTTGTTTGAGGATTTTCAGTCAGGTTTTAGAGTCCATCATAGTACAGAAACCGCATAGGTGAAAGTCACTAATGATCTTCTCCTAACCTCAGACAAAGGACTTGTCTCCATACTTGTCCTCTTAGATCTCAGTGCTGCTTTTGACACCATTGATCACAGCATCTTACTGCAGAGACTTGAACATGTTATTGGGATTAAAGGAACTGCACGAAGTTGGTTCAAATCTTATTTATCAGAAAGATTTCAATTTGTTCATGTTAATGACGAATGTTCCACACAAACTGAAGTTAGTCACGACGTTCCACAGGGCTCTGTGTTAGGTCCAATACTCTTCACTTTATAAATGCTCCCTTTAGGCAATATTATCAGGAAGCACAACATAAATTTCCATTGCTATGCAAATGATTCTCAGTTATATTTATCTATGAAGCCAAATGAATCAGGTCAGCTGGTCAAACTTCAAGCATGTCTTAAAGACATAAAGGCCTGGATGACCTGCAACTTCTTACTTCTAAACTCTGACAAAACTGAAGTTATTGTGCTTGGGCCTGAAAACCTTAGAAATCTGCTGTCTAATCATATAGTTACTTTAGATGACATAGCTCTTGCCTCCAGTACTACTGTGAGGAACCTTGGAGTCATCTTTGATCAGAATATGTCCTTTAAATCACACAAAATCCAAGTCTCTAGATCTGCCTTCTTTCACCTACGCAATATTGCAAAAATCAGGAGCATCCTGTCTCAAAGTGATGCTGAAAAACTGGTCCATGCATTTGTTACTTCCAGGCTGGACTACTGTAACTCTTTACTATCAGGATGTCCCAATAATTCCCTAAAAAGCCTCCAGTTAATCCAAAATGCTGCAGCCAGAGTACTGACAGGAACTAGCAAGAGAGATCATATCTCTCCCATATTAGCTTCTCTCCACTGGCTCCCTGTAAAATTCAGAATAGAATTTAAAATCCTTCTCCTAACATACAAAGCCCTTAATGACAAGGCTCCATCGTATCTTAAAGACCTCGTAGAGCCTTATCATCCTAACAGAGCACTTCGCTCTCAGAGTGCAGGTTTACTTGTGGTTCCTAGAGTCCACAGAAGCAGAATGGGAGGCAGAGCCTTTAGCTATCAAGCTCCTCTCCTATGGAACCAACTCCCAGTCTCAGTTCGGGAGGCGGACACCCTCTCTACCTTTAAGATTAGACTTAAGACGTTCCTTTTTGATAAAGCTTATAGTTAGGGCTGGATCAGGTGACCCTGAGCCCTCCCTTAGTTATGCTGCTATAGGCCTAGGCTGCTGGGGGCCCCATGATGCTCTGAGTTTCTTTCCCCTCCCCTCCTACTCTCCTCTCCTCTCCTCCTCTTCCCTCTCCTCTCTCTCCCTATGCTTCTATATGCCACCATTACACATCACTAACTTTGTGTCTCCTCTCTCCCATAGTGTGTCCTCTCCTATGCTTCTATATGCTACCATTACACATCACTAACTTTGTGTCTCCTCTCTCCTGTAGTGTGTCCTCTCTCTCTCCCTGTACCTTTCTGCAGGTTGCCCTGGCCCTGGAGCTCTATGTCTCTGACGAGCAGTCACCGGCCACATCGACCTGATCAGTGTTTGATTGTTGTGTCTTGTTGCTTTTCTTCTTTTGTCTCTCCTCTATCCACTCACCCCAACCGGTCGAGGCAGAAGGCCGCCCACCAAGAGCCGGGGTCTGTCGGAGGTTTCTTCCGTTAAAGGGAGTTTTTCCTCCCCACTGTCGCCAAGTGCTTGCTCAAGGGGGATTTGTTGGGTTTTCCCTATGTAATAATATTGATAACAGTAAGGTCTAGACCTTACTTTGTAAAGTGTCCTGAGATGACTTTTGTTGTGATTTGGCACTATACAAATAAAATTTGATTTGATTTGATTTAATGAATCTGCTTACACTGAGTTGGGAGGAGAGGCGCAGCTGAGGCTGTGTGTATGCTGATTAGGCAGCGCAGTACAGTTTTGGTGCTTGTTTGTCCTGAAATAGTAATAATGATAACACCTGGTCAGACCACCTCTTATCAGGTGCACACATAATGTATATTTTAAAGGACACACCAACTTAAAATTAACCCTTAAATTCACAGAATAATTTATTGTGAAATTATAGCTACCATGAAATATGTGTGCTAATTTAGAAAGATAATTTTCCAGTAAAAATAAATAAACTAGTCCTCAGTGTGTGGCTACAGTATGTAGATGGTCAAACAGTGTTTGACACATCTGTCCTTACAGGATGCAGCCAGAGGCGATCTGCAACCAGTGTTTGGGAATCGTAGAATTTTAATAAAGAAGTTTCACACAGACATAACTTCATTACTACTGCAGGGATGTACGTTGTGTCTGTTTTTGTATTTTATGACAGTTTGATCAGCTTTGAAAGCAGCTGTAGGTGGAGATAAAGTGGGCAACATATCGACAGGCTGTGTGGTCTGGTGGACCACAATCAGTTTCATCATAAACACAGTGATTACAATAGGATCTTATTCTATTACTTTAAAACAGTAAAATGTTTATAAAGTTACATGCAAGACCCTGTGGATTTCACACACTGGATGCAGCTGTGAGTAAATTACACTATGTAACTGCTGCTGGTTACAGGATCAGAGACTTTCTTTCTTTCATGCACAAACACTGGTCAGTGATATCAGCAGACTTCTGGGTGGATATTTATGTGCAGCACTTATACATTAATAGTTTTGTCACTGTCACTTTAGGAATGGAGAACATAACTGGTAGGAGAAGATATAGGGAAATAATCTTTCCTCTCATATATTTCCATGTCCTGACATCAGTGACAGTCAGTTCTGTCCTGATCTTTAAAGGGGCTGAGAGGAGCTGGTTTGATTGGACAGAACTAAAGCCAGACCAGATGCCACCTGCTCACCATTTATTCCTCCCTCTAATAATGTATTCCGCTTTTCCTCTACAATGTACCCAGTAACGCCTGGCTGGGGTTGAATGTGCACTGCTTCTGTGGTCATTAAAATGGCAAAACATTGTTGAACACGTCCATATTCACCTTGCGCCTGGAGTTTAGACATGAGTTTAGCACTGCACCCCACTGCAGAAAAATAGAGTCCCTTATATACTTGACCTTGAGTTTTTTACTAGTATCCAGCTTGGGAGACTTTCTAGACTGTTCACCACAGTTCCACATGTATCAATAGTCTTTATAAGCCAGGTTTTAGCATAACATCTAATGAAATCTATATTGCAAACTAAGGATTTTATCTCACATTAAAAACCCCTTTTCCCTTATTTAAGCAAAAATAAAAAGGTAAAACATTACCAGCTTGACTCTTGCTCACCAAATGCCCTCTGCTCTGGACACTTAGTCTTATTTCAAAATTTGCATTCAAACCCAGTAATGGGAGGTCTGTGCTGAGCCAGCAGATGGATTGGTGAGTGGTTTTTCAGACAATGGTCAAAGAGTACAGTTGCACCACTGGGCTCTGACACTGAAATTAGACTGTTTCACAGACAGACAGCCACAGCCTTCATCCTGCACATCTGTCTGTGCACCATGACCTCTGAACCACACAGCTCTTGACAGTGACTGATATGGGTTTTAACAAGCTCATTATCAATATTTTGAAATTGAAGAGGTTACCCCCTAACTTTTTGCCTACTTTCTGTCTCACAAATTGCAGCTTAAATTCAGTAATGTTTTTCCATCTCTTCCAACCAGCCATCATCTCTAAAGGTAACCCGCTTTATCAAGATTTATTAAGATTTGATCACAGTGTTCTTTTCAAGGTCGATAATAAAAGGTACACACCAAAGTGCGTCTCAAAATGTCTTCAATCCACTAAGATAAAATGTCCTTTAAACATGGTGCTGTGCTCCTACCTGTAGGTATGGGGTGCAGTAGACCTCAGAGCCAATGAGGCCGCAGGTGGAAGAGGCATGGAGCTGGTGAGCCCTGCCCAGGAGCAGGTCATTGCTGGGTGGGTAACAAGCCCCTCTGGAGCAGTCAGTCTGGGCCTGCGATACAGCAGCTATGGCTGTCAGGAGGATAGCAGTGGAACAACAGATGTAACGTTACAGTGTGCTGTGACAATATGACCAATATCATCAATAACATCAATATTTTGGTTCACAATCCATCACAACTTACAGGCATAACCCAAAACAAATGAAGGGAAAATGGTCCTATGATAGTCTAGAATAACAGGGATCGACTCCAGCATAGCAAGCTTAGAAAACACATCTGACCTCTAAAGTTATCAGTGGAACTGCTTTTTTTTTTTTTTTTTAACTTAAAGGTAGCTAGGTAGCATCCAGACATTAGGTGTTTCTGATCACACAAACAAGTAACAAAATAGGTTTGCTGACTACTGTGTTAGTGAGGCCTGTCAGGAAGAAGGATGCTTGCCTCTACTGCTGCCGAATTAATTTCTACTCATTTCCAGTAGGAATGAAAAACACTACTGCAACTGAACTCCACACATTATAGTAATGTGAGTACAGTGTTGTAATATAATTTACACTGACCTGGTAGGATGGGATTCGTTTTTTTCATAATAGATTTAAATCATTCTGATTTACTTGTTGATTATCAAATGAATCCACAGAGATATGGTACATACTGTACGATAAAGCTTTAAAAAACAAATTAAATGATAAAGAAACTTAACCTAAACATTACCGCTGTCAACAATGTACACCAAATGAACAATTTCAAGTACTAAACAGGCCTTGAACGTGACAGTTCTTAATCATTTTGCCTAAACCCTCTAGACCACATGTGTCAAAACTCAAGGCCTGCGGGCCACATCCGGCCCACGAGATCATTTTATATATCTGTTTTTTTTTTTTTGGACCGGCGATATGAAGTGCCAATAACAGACAAACTACAAATCCCATTATGCAGTGCAACAGCTGCCTTACCGAACGATAGGCTACCTGCAATCATTCCCGCGTCAATTATTGTCAGGTTTGCCCAGCTACACCTTCCTCTCTTCTTTTTCCTCACACTAGCCTAGCCCTTGCACTGATTACACTATTCAACACACCTGCCCCGCTTCCCTGATTACTCACCAGCTGCACCTCATTAGTCTCCTCCATACTTATACACTGTTCACCAGTCACTCCCCTGCCAGTTCTTTCTCTGTCTTCAGGCCAGTGGTTGTTATGTTGTTTTATCAAGTTTAT